TCCTGCAAGTCACACAATGCTAGTACTACTAGTAATAACAATGAGACTAACATGCATTGACTGGTTACTATATGCTAGGCAGAGTTTTATACTTAGTGCTTTACAGTGTTTGATATTTACTGTGTCATTCAATCCTCCTGTAAACCTTGTGAGGGAGGTACTAGTAATATCAATTTATAAATGAATAAACAGAGGAACTGAATTCCTCAAATACACACAAGTAGCATAGGGTCTGGAGCGGAAACCTGGTTACTGTCTCCACATTCCAAGCTTTTAGCCACGTTCATCCGCTTCGATGAGCCTTAGTTTCCTTACCTGCAGAGTAAGGACAGTAAAAATTCTCTTGCGGGGTTGGCATGAGTGGCAGAGATCAGGAGTAAGGCATAGTACAGGGACCGCTTCTAAAACTGGTAATTCGTTATCACTGGCGGGGCTGCTGCTATCAACAGTGGTCGTAACATTAGTCAATTTCTAACGCGAAGGATCACGCGTCCTTTCTTCTTTGCACACAAATCTCTGTGAACAGAGCCAAGCTCTAAGCATTTAGGAAAGGTTGTTAGAATTATTATAGTTCAGCAGGGCCAAGGAGCAGGGTCACCAAAGGCTCAGGCACCCGATTTGTGACCATTTGGATGCCTGCCCAGAGATCTACATTCCCCATTAACGTGCTTCTTCTGGTAAGATCGTTCTTCCCATCGGAGCCACGGGAAGATAGCCATGCATCTGGGTCCAAAGTCCGCACACGGGGTAATCTGTGCCTTTTGCTTCTTTGCACAAAGAGAAGGTGCTTCCAGCTGGCAGCTCTGGCTGGCAGTGTGGCATTTTGCCCAGGAAACTTCATGAAGTTATCTGACCCTATAGCATCACATGAATCTTTTTTAATTTTCTTTTTTTAAAAATTTATTGAGGTAGCATTGGTTTATCGTATTTATAAAAGTTTTACGTGTACAATGTAAGGTTTTGACTTCCGTATACATGACAGTGAGAGCGTCATATGAATTTTTAAAGACTGTCACAAAATCAAGAATCTCAGTGCAAAACAGCCACATCCGAAGCAGCGGTCTGGTTCAACAGTCCTCACTTTAATGGCAGTTCTTTCTTAAACACTAACACCTAACAGAGAGAGCATCGCAAAGCATCAGTCACAGCTTAACTGGGCACTTAAAGGCTGCATGGGTAAGCGTAAAAGATATGCATTTTTGCTATGGAAATACCTCTAGACCAGACATATGTGATGCAACAGCTGTTATCCAAAGCTGCCCTGCACCAAGACATGCTTGTCTGGAAAAGCCAAGACTGCCAGACAGCTTCTAATCCTCAGAGGAGCCTGCTGGCTGTCATCCGGCTCTCTCTCCCTCCACAGCACACGGGCAGGCGGGGATGCACAATGCCACTTCCGGACCTCGCTGCCCTACAGCCGTGATGGCTCAAAACCCTGGGTCCTGTGGAAGGTGCTTGGCTAACCTGTTACACAATTACTGAAATACCTACCAGGCTAAAACTTCCATTTCTAAAGCAATATTTCTCAACATGTGGACTTAGGTCTGCCTGTGTCACCATCTCCTTGTTAGAAACGCAGATTGCTATGCGTGTTTGTCTATTTACTTGTCTCTGTTTGTCTCCCTTGTTAGCGTGTAAGCCCTGGAGAGTAAAAGCTGGCCTGTTTACTGTGGTGCCTCATACCCCTAACAGTGTTTGGCACATAATGAGGCCTCAATAAATTAATTTGTAGAATGAATTGATTCCCGGGCCCTATACCTGACCTCCTGAATCAAAATCCCTAAGAGCACGGCCAAGGAATATACATTTTAAAGACATACACAGATGACTTTTATGCATGCTAAATTTTACAAACCATTGTTGTAAAGTAATTCATCCAATTCTAATTGGAGAGATGAAAAGTTTTGTCTCTAGGGGCCCCCATACTAGCGGTCTTGTCAGTCTCTAAGGTAAAATGAACATATTAATACAATCCTAGGGGGAAACTTTTTCCTTCTACTCACATACCTCCAACAGATGTCGATCTGCCACCCACAGTGTGCCAGGCTCTGGGTTCCTAAGTGGACAAAACAAATACGGGCTTGGACGGCCAAATGCCTGGCAAAGTCTGGAGCCTACCTGTTAAGAGCACACCCAGAGCTTTCCACTCTGCGAGAAGCGAACACTTGGACTTGATTATTTGACAAGGCTGTCCCTTCTCCCTGCCCTGATATGGAAATGGGACAGACTGTATGTTCATTACTGTTTTCCCGGCAGGTTTGAATGACACCTCCGATCCATGAAAGCCAGATATTATCTCAAAGAATTTATCTTATCTTAAAAGACAATATAACCTTTCTAAAGAGGTTTCCTATATGTTTGGCCCTTTAAGTTTGTTCTGGAAGCTTGGCATTTTCTTTCTAGGTAAAGCCAGCCTTTACCTGGTCCTGGGCTGTCACACAGGTGACTGTCTTGTCCTGTTTCCTCATTTGAAAAATAAGACAATTAGACTAGAACGAGGTCTAGAGCCCCTCGCAATTCTGACGTCCCCTAATCTGTTACTTCTCCATGAGGTCTCACTGCCTGGGCTTCACAGAATATCCAGATGTGATTAGTGAGCAAACAGCTATTGTCAGGCCGGTCTCCCCAAAACTCTCCAAGGCAGAGAAGGTTAGTTGTGGTAGACTAGGTAACATTTGGGACTTGCAAACCATTTCTGAGAATTCTCTCTCTCAGTTTCTATGTTTGCCTACAAAAATACTACGGCAATTTTAATGCACTTAAAACTTGATGTAAAAAGGTAAATATAAGACCTGAATGTCCTCTGAAATTTGAACTTTTTGTTTCTGTCACGGTGGAGCAAGGTGTTTTAGCACAGCCAGATCTAGGAGAGGCTGAAAAATCACAGCTTTGAGGGACGCTCCCAAGCCAAGCTGTGAAGTATAGGGAGACACGTAGGGCATGAAAGGGCCTCCAGAGCCCTTTCCCCGACCCCCCCCCACCACAAAGCCTGCCCTTCCATTCCCTCTGTCCTTCCTTCAGAGGCGCATCTCACAGAAGTTCCCCAAAGGTAGGCTGCTCTGAATTAGAGTCATACCCTCAGCACCAAATTTAATGCCCTTTGTTCCATTGCAGCCCAACTGACTAATCACTGGTGATGTGTCCATTGCCATTGCCAGGTAATTGCATTTTAACTGCCTTTCTTTGGAAAACAGCCTCACAAAACTCAGTGGTTCTCCATTCTTTCAGACCCAATGTCTACGTTATATGCCAACTATTATGTAATACCTTCTTTGTTAGCCTGAAATGAAAATTGTAGAAAATATAACTTACCTACTCACTGTGCCCAAATTATTTTTATAAAAAGGAGCAAGGTTAGGGGCTTCCCTGGTGGCACAGTGGTTAAGAATCCACCTGCCAATGCAGGGGACACGGGTTCAAGCCCTCGCCCGGGAGGATCCCACATGCTGCGGAGCAACTAAGCCCATGCACCACAACTACTGAGCCTGCGCTCTAGAGCCCACGAGCCACAACTACTGAGCTCGCGTGCCGCAGCTACTGAAGCCTGCACACCTAGAGCCTGTGCTCCGCCACAAGAGAAGCCACAAAAATGAGAAGCCCGTGCACCGCAAGAGTAGCCCCCGCTCGCCGCAACTAGAGAAAGCCTGCACAGCAATGAAGACCCAATGCAGCCAAAAAAAAAAAAAAAAAAATTTTTTTTTAAAAGGAGCAAGGTTAGAGAAGTAGTTTATAATAAGACAACATATTTCAATAGGTAAAGCTTAAGCGAGACCACACTAGAAGCTCTAAAGGAGTAGCCCAAATGCTTGCTCTGTGTCTAAATCTATATCTACCTAAAGTCACAAGGACCACCACAAATGACTATAGAGCTAGTGACACATTCCAAAACCTCACTTACTGTCCCCTAAATGCCAGTAGCCTCCCCAAGCATTTATTGTGACAAACGCCTCCCCATCATTTATTTTTCCAAATTGTCTTCTACAAACCTAGATCAATGGCCCAGATGTGAAAAGTTTAGCCAGTTTAGCAATGCCAAGAGAGCTATTTTAGTTTAAACAATAGTTCACAGCCTCCAGTAACATGCAGCTACTCTGTCCTCTGCCTGGTTTTTTTCCCCAAAATCTTGGGGTAGGAATGTCATAATGCATAATGACAATCTCAACAATAAAAGCTAACATTTATGTAATACTTCCCACATGCCAAGTGCTTTAAAAAATTTTTTTGCATTTATTAACTCATTTAATCCTCATAACTCCATAAGTAATATTATTATCACTGCGTTCCAGGGATCATAATAATACGCACAGGGAAATTCAGTAACTTGACTAAGATCACACATGTAGCCACATCTAACTTCTTGTAGAAATCAACTCCTTTGGTTATTATAATAGTGAGGTTTTATAGTAAGCAAAGTACTACCTGTGTTTCTATTTTAGGAAAGGAACTTTTCAGAGATGAAAGGATGCTTCTTTCTCCAATGCCTGTCTGCCTGTTTGACATTTGAGTCCATGAGTTCTTGGCCTCCTTTGTGCTTTTAGCCCTTGGAATGTAATTAGGTAGCTTTTGACAATATTTTCATCCAAATGATTCGGAGTGGATTTTCTCTTCTTGGCGCTTCGTCTCTGTGTGAAATTGCAGGTCCATTCACTGGAAGATTTGGAATGCAAATCTTTTTCTGAACTCTGCTTTCATTGCCAAAAATCTTGCTCCAAAGCAGGTTTGTTTTAATCAAATTAAGAAATGACCTAAAAAGCAGGCTGTGTGCAGAGTGGAGAGACATGTGGACAGTGGGGTCGGGCATCTCCTAAACGTGTCAGAAATTACAGTCCAGCATCATTCAGGGAGGAAATGCCTTTCTTTCTGGAAACAACCGAGGAGTTGTTCTAACTGATCATTATTATCAATGATTTAAGGTTGGACTTCTACCCTCCTGTGGCTCCTTGTAAAGACGACAAAGGAAATTATTCAAAGCAAACTTGATATACTTATTTTCCTTTCAGGGGGAAAATGATCCCATCTGATCTTGAAAGAAGGATCCTTGAAGCCAAACAAAAAGTAAGTTTTTGAAGGGAGCTTTATCCAGCCCATAACAAGCTGATGGTATGTATTTCTGTTTCCATCCAGTAGAGAACACATTTCTGTTTTATTTTTAAAAGAGAATATGGAATTTTGCATTGTCGTTACTTATTTCTCTGAGTGATAGGCTCTGCTTTGAAAAGGTCTAAGTTACTGAATAAATACCATACGCAGTGGTACTGTAACAGTTTCCAAAGGATTTTTCTTCCCACGTGATGAGAATTGGCACTAAACAGACACATCGGAAGGACTGTATTCACAAGTGGAAAATCCCAGGAAGCTAATGTAGCGTATGGGAGTTACTGTGTGTGGTTATTTGAAAAGAGCCAATATTTCCTGCCTAGACACATGCTGATGTGTTGGCCCTTCAAACACCTTATTTTTCAGGAAGCAATTCAGTACTTTTTTTTAGAAGTGACAATTTCTGAAGACCTGCTAAAAATTCCTACAAAGCTCTAGGAAGTCATTTACATCCCTGGATGGTTCACAGGCCAGAGCTTTTAGTAGATCTAATCTACAGTTCCTAGTTCAACGATATAACACACGAATTGTATTATTAGAATCTCAGGAATAATTATTAATTTTCATATGCCCTTTTCCCCCCTACAAAGTGGCAGCCGCATCCTTTCCCCTTGTTCTGGTACTGGAACCACTTCTAGTCACATAAACCTTTGCTGCCACCTAAAGACTGACTCTGTAACGTCAGGTTCCATCATGAATTTGAGGCATTCTTGGGCATCTTTCAGCAGTGGCCTATTATTTCTATCCATTTTCATTTAGCCACGGCCAGACAGACTGAGCCAACTTAGACAGATAAAAGTCATGGCTTACTGTTTGGCCCCAAGTGAACCCTCTCCTCTAAGACTCTAAATAGGAATAATGGGCTGGTCAGAGTTCTTCCCTTTGTCCTCTTGACTGCTCACTCTGGAAGATTTATTACGTTCAGAGGCCCTGTTATGAAAAAGGAAGATTAGAAAAGTAATCGGGCATGGGGTAGGGAAGGGCAGAAAGTCTCCCTGGAATATATCAGTGGTTTGTGGGCACCACGAAGCTTACTCACCTCTGAGTCCAGTGTAGCCTCTTCTGAGAACCAGAAGTCTGTTCTCATAAGGCAACTGGCAGGGCCAACAGAATGGCCTGGAGAACCTAGACCCTGGAAAACAAACATCATTCCTACTAGGCTCCAAGGTGTTGTTAACCCTCCTGATGGTTCCAAAAATGCAGACGTGTATGATAGGAGGAGAATGTCCACTGTCTTTTTTTAATCAGCTTTTTAAAAGGATCCTTTGACCCCCCCCCATTTTACAATATTTGGGGCTCTCTCATTTGCACAGGGATTTGTCCCTTTCCTTGTGAGTGCCACGGCTGGGACCACCGTGTATGGAGCATTCGATCCCCTGTTAGCTGTTGCTGACATTTGCAAAAAGTATAAGGTCTGGATGCACGTGGATGTAAGTATCCCATAGGGACTGCCACTAAAATGTCCTTGCACGTTTTTTCACCTGGAGCTCATGGAATGAAATGTATTCTCTCTATTTTTTTACTTTAGGAGTTTATTTTCAGGATGGTGATAGTTAAGCTTTTAAAAATCGCAGAGACAAAGTAGTACACAACTCGCACAGTACATAACATTCGCTGGAAGCATTCTGAGGCTGATTATGCCTTAACTTTCCCAACAGGATAATATTCTTATTTCTATGACCAGGACCTCAGCTGCGCACTTAGTTCTCAATTCATTGGACCATAATGTCCAAGGAGGAATATGGCCTGTGTACACACACACACACACACAGTCACACACATGCAAAGCTTACTTCCCTATGAGAATGGTCCAAAGAGTAAATAGGAGTTGCATTTATATAGGAAATCCAATGGATGAAAAAATTCAGCTCAAGTCAGAGACTAGCATAATCAAACAGGAAAGCGGACTTGACAACTTGCTAGGAAATATGAATCCGAATTTCCAATGTGTTATCTTAGTCAGCTAATAAGATAAACTATATATGAGATGTTTTGACTGCAGGGTTAGTCACACCAAAAAATAATGGAGATGCACCCATCAAGACATTTCCAAATGAAACAAAATGTCAACTTTTAGAAGGACAGATTAAAGGGATTAAAGTTTAGACTGGTATGACTCCAAGTGTGGCTCCAAGATCGGCTGCTCTCTGCAAACTGTTTAGGACCCACCATGAGATAAGGAATCAGTGCCAAATCATCTCTAAGCACGATGCTTGGTTCAGCTGATGTGTTTTCCATTGTGAGACTTTCTCGAAGCAGGAAGCATAAGTTGATTTACATTCTGGTGCAAGAGGCTTATGTTATAGAGTAGACTGTTTTGAGTAGATCATTTTGGCTTTATAGTAAGCATTCAGACCAAATTAATCCCTCTTTCTTAATGAGCAGAAAACCTCCAGAGGCTAAGTTAGGTAAATTTCCATTACCCCAGAGTTATCCTGCATCGCAGTTTCCAGTCTTCTTTTCCTTCCCTGATTCACAGTGTGAGTTGTTCTTTAGCCTACCAGAGACCCCTTTATTTCACACATGAAGACACTGAGAAAAGGTTGACAGACCCAAGTACCATCAGTGACCTGGGTCTTGGAACTGGAGAGCCTATGAAACCTCACCAGCTGACTCAGGAAGAGGATTACCTTGACAGCCTTAAAAGCAGCAATGTGTGTCCCGAGCCAGCAGATGCAGTAGGCTCTCCTCCAGAATTTCTACTTAAAATAGAAGAACCAGTTGTATTAGCTTTCTTTGAAACATATCAAATTTATCACTCATTATCCTTACTGTTTATAATTCTATAATTAAACTGGAAAAAAATCTTAAAATATTACACATTTGGAAAATTGGATAATTTTTCAAAGTGTAAAGGGACTGAAATTACAACAGAGAAAAGAATGCAATTATACCCAGTTTTTTTCTTTAAAATTATCCCAGGATTATTTTTACACCCAAAGAATGTTAACATTTTCCAATGAATCTCCATCTTTACATCTTAAATTTGAAGGAGATCATTACACCAATTCAAATCTTCAAACTTGAGAACAAATTTTTAAAGGGGCACATTCTTTATTGCTCAACCAATTGGCTGATACAAATCTTGCCTGCTTGCTTTTTTTTTTTTTTTTTGTCTGTTAGTTTTGTTTTGGCTTTTGGTTTATCTTATCCAAAATTACACATCAGTAAAATAGGCTTGGAAGATGTCTCCTCCCCCTGGAAGCATGCAGACTTGTCAAAAAGAGTTTTCCTTGCAACTTGAAAGCAGTTTAAAGGGTCCCAGCCCATCTTATCTACTCTAAACTGTGGAGATACTAGGGTTTCTAGTTCTGAGATTATGAGCTTCACTAAGACTGAGTGGTGGTGATGGGTTGGGGGAGGATCTCTCTCCTTCTCATGCAGACTGAGGAAATGTTTGGCCCCTTACATCCATAGAAATCTGAGGTGGAGCTTGAGACCTTAGAATAGCCCCCCAATTTAACCTTTGGAAGTCTAGTGGCCAGTCTCCAAGTTACCTGGGGTTGAGGCTGTACCTTTCACCCTATGCAATGCTTGCTGTTCCGGAAGACACCAAACTCTAGAAATCCAGGCAATTAAAAACACTGCCTTTTTTTTTGTATGCTCTCCCTTTTCCAGGCAGCTTGGGGTGGGGGATTACTGATGTCCCGGAAACACAAGTGGAAACTGAGCGGCGTGGAGAGGTACACACATTTTTCTTGTTAAAAACCTAAAGTGTGAAAGCTGAATGTGAAAAGCAAATTACACCCAATTTCCAAGAACTGTGGGTGTACAGATGAGCCCATTCTGTGCAGTGCCTGTGTGCCTTATGTGCTCATGTATGCATGAATATTATGTGTAGACAACGAAGAAATTAAATCCCATACCAAGTGACCCAAGTGGAATGTTTCTAACTGGCCTCCATGGTTGGCCAGAGGACTCAGGAATGACCTTCCTGGGATCTCTGAACCAACTACCGAAACTGTTTAAAACTTCAGGCCGTCCACTGTTTTCTAGGGAGATATACAGCTTTCATGTTTCATGAGAGGATAATATCCGCTGCTTTAAAGAAACCAATAAATAATTTTGTGAAGCAAATAAGCACATTGTAATTTATCAGCGTTGAAAGAGGAGTTTGGGGTTTAACATGGCCCCTTTACTTAAAGTGAAACCTGCCTGTGATAACATGATCTGATAGTTTCATCCCCATAATAATTTTTTCTGGTGTAGCTCTGTTTGATGCTGCAAAGCACCTTTTATTCAGAGACTAAGCAGTAGACCATTGAGAAAAGCCGCAAAATACAAAGGAAATAATTTTTGATTAGCGTAAAGCCTACTCAGGGCCAAAGGAAAAAGGAAAAGAGATGCAGAATGCAAAATCAGCCTCGGCCTTTAGTTCTGACCCACGTGCAGAGGGAGCTCAGAGTTCCTGGTCCTCCGTGCACAACATGGCAGGTCAAGGACAGTGGTGAGCTCTGACACTCCGGGCAACTGAGAAAGCCTGGATTCAACCAGGGCTGCCCATTGCCCACTGTGCCCTGCCCAGTAGCCAGATGCTGCCCAGGAAGAGTTTCCCACTGGCTCTGCCTCTGGACATCTTGGCACAATTTCTGTCCCAAGGCGAGAAGAGAGGCTGCTGGAGCTCAGAAGCATCTGGGAGCACTGGGCAGGCAGGGCAGCCGGGCCAGAATGAACGGCAGGGTGTGCTGTGTGACATCCAGGCCCACCCATATGTAGAGAAGCCGCGGCTGTGGAAGGGGGGCAGAGGCAAAGTCTGCGGCACTCTGCCGCAGTAGCGGAAAGAAGGCCCAGGTTGGCAGGGTTGTGTCTCTGAGTCTGCTGCCTGCCCTCTGACTGCAGGTGTCAGTTCAGGTGTGAGTGGGTGAGGACAGGCACGGCCCCTTCCCAGAGGGAGCCAGCTTTAGGTCTCTGCTTCTGGTCCATTGGGCTGAATTCCTTTTTTTCATGAAGATCCGCCTGAAACCAGAAGCTTAAGGACGAGGCAGTGAGCTAAACAGTGAGAGAGAATGAAGAAGAGAGAGCCATTCAGAAGGTGCCTGTTCAGAGGATCAGAACAAGAATTCAATTGACGTGCTATCGAGAGAAGTGGCCTGGACACAGAACCTTCTCGTCTTTGAGTCCCTTTCAATTGAGCAGCCCAAAAAGTGAGAGGCTGTTACTGTACCTTTCATACCAGCTGTGACTCCAAGTGCTGACGGCCAGCCGTGGAGCCCCCTCGACCAGTGATTACCTGAAAGCTCGCTAACTCACCTACCCTGGGCCTTGGAAAGATAAACACCCATGTGCTTTTGGACTAAAGACTAAAGACTTTTGAGAGCAAAGCTTAGAACATTCGTCATGGGACATAGCGTCCTCTCTAATTGCCGCAATTCTTGAAGCTGTGTTGTAAGTAAATCTACTAAGTGGAATAGCCAAACAGGTAGTCTTTTTTAAAAACGAGGGACCGTCGGCCCTTCCCTGGCGGTCCAGTGATTAGGACTCCGAGCTTCCACTGCAGGGGGCACGAGTTCGATCCTTGGTCGGGGGGTTTGAGCCGAACCCCCTCAGCCATCCGTTGATCTGAGAGAATCCATCTCAGTGACTCGTTGGCAACAGGCACACTTTCTTTGGTGGATAAGATTGTAAGGCCACGGGACACCCCCGGCCATAATGTGCGTGGACACACGTTTAGGAAAGAAATTTGCCTCACTTGAGATGTTACGTTTCTCCAAGCACTAGGACTCTCTCTGAAGTGGAGGAAATCTGTGGTCGATTCCTGTCGCCAAATCCAGAGGTGGACCAGTGGTCACAGGGATCCCAGAGTACCGTCCTCATAACAAAATGGCACAAGCACCCAGAACCCTGCCTCGCATCCCCTTCGAAAGCCAACCCAGTTCTCAGAAAGCACCTTTCTTCCCTGAAAACAGTGTCAAGCTATTTAGGGATGCTGTGGCTGAGAGAGTGCCCGGAGCCCTGGCACTCCAGAGCATGTTTCTGGGTCCTGTCAGGGACCCTTCTTTAATCCCTCCTGGCAGCAGGCTGCTGTGTATCTGGAAGAACCCAGTGTTGCGGTCCACTCTCAAGACTTTCTGGCCAAGCTGAAGGTTCCAGCACAGATTCTGCCGAATTACCAATTATTACTCTCACTCCCACCCCTGAAACTCAGTTCCCAGACCTCTGTCATAGGCAAGCCACATCGCAAGGCACGGCGCGGGCACAAAGTCAAGTACGACACGAAGCCTATCTTCAAAGGCTTTAGAATCTAGTAGGGAGACTGCAGTCAACCATGGATTACAATTCAAGGCAGAGGAATTAAAGGCTCAAGAGACTATCGGTCTCCTAACCAGGGTTATTAGGAGGTTATAACCTCCTAACCAGGGTTATTAGAGGAGAGGAAGCCTTCCCCCGGGGGTGGGCAGTGGAGCTTCATCAGGCAGAAGTGGGAAGAAGGGCGTGAAGGTGAAAGAGCAGGGGCACGGAGGTTTGAGCGGATCCTTGGTGATAGTTCAGACAGGTCTGGTTGGAGACTGAGATGGATTCATGGCAGTGACCAGGGAGCTAGCGGAGGGCCCAAAAGACGTCCTGCCCGGTGAGTCTCAGCGCGGGGCCTGGCCGCAGAGCCAAGTGCAGATCACCGTAAATCCCCGAGCTGAGCGTCACTGCTGTGTGAGCCATTATTACGCATGGAGAGCATTCTGTTTCTCAGGTTGGGGAGAAAACCTGGAAAGGCCCTGCCATAGCAGCCATAGTGCAGATCCGAGGAGAGGAGTGGCATTACCTGCGCTTTGGAAGGGCTCCTCTGGATTCAAGAGGAGAAGGAGGCCAGGACTGGCTAGACCCTGCTGGGCATCACAGAGCTCCAGGTGCAGGAGGTAGCGGAGGGGAGAGATGCTGAGGGTGGGAACCGGAGCAGCCGCAGCAGCTGCGAGGGAAAGGAGGACATGAAACCAGGAGAGCTGCGTTATCATCAGAGACCGGCTCTTCAGTGTAATTTGAAGGACCGCTGCTTCTGCTTCCTTCACTTGCTTCTGGAATATCTTGTGTGTGTGTATAGAAAAGTCGCACTCCAGTTACACTAAGAACACCAGGTGTTACAAATGCTGAAGCATGATTTGCATCTAATGCTTTTTTTTTTTTTTTTTTTTGCCTTGCTGTACTTTCTAATATTTTAGGAAGTTCCAGAGAGTTTCCTTTTTGACAGATTTTACAGTTTTGTATATCATGTTGAAAAGCGTGAGGGACATTTTTTTTGGATACGTCTTTGATTGAGCTAGCTTTAGCTTGTTGCATATATCAAACTGCCTGGGGAACTTTTTCAATATGCATATACCAGTCCCATCCCAAGGAAACATTGCAGACTCTCCAGGGTTTTGAGTGAATACCTGTGGCATTAGGTCATGGTTAGAGCAAGGACCCTGTGTAGACAGGCAATGGCTTGAATCCCACTCGCTGGTTGTGTACCCTTGGGCAAGGTGTCTCTCCATCTTTAAAACTGGTACAATAACAGTATGTGCCTCACAGGGTTGCTGTTGTATGGATTAGATAAACTAGTCCATCTGAGCCAATTAGAGCAGTGCCTGTCGATAGTAAATACATAGTACATGTAGTTAGTGTGTGAATACTGAAAATTTTCCAAATGATTCTCACACACACACACAACCTAGCACCAAAGTACTACAGAATAAAGTGCTTTATACAGAATTAAAAAAAAACTGCAAGGGGTGATATCGGTAGAGGGAAAAAAAGAGAATGAAACCAAAACACTAAGGTTTGGGAGCTGGACGCTGGGAAGGAAACGGGTGCGAGGAATCGAGGTCCAGGATAGAGGAGAGAGAGAAGATCTGAAGGATGAGAAGGGAGCAAGTTAACGAGTTCACTTGGGATCTTCTGAGTTTGAGGTGCCAACGAGGGCCCTGCGATATGTCTCAAAACGGCCCTAGGGGGCTCAGCTCTCTCCAACTTACGGAAAATCACAGAGGACTGAATCCCACGGCAAAACGTTTTGAAATGAACCCGAGGCTGTTTTTCCCAAATTGCTAACATTTCTCCAGTAAACGAATGCCCTGTCTTTGAATCACTCTGTGTGTCTTTTTGCACCTTTATGAGGCAGCCCCTCTGAGAGAATTCAGTGACCGGTCGGTGTGAGTCTTGGCAGCTTCTAGCCTAGAAAGACAAATGGGCCGCTGCAGAGAAATAAACACCCTCAGTCAGAGCCGTGGAGAACAGCTATCTTCTTCTCCATCAGGTGCCATTACTGAGAAAGCTGCGTTTCATCAGGATCAGGCATCTAGCTATAGAATATTATGGAATGTACAGAATGACAGTGTATGTGTGCCCAGTGTCGCAAAGCTCGTGAATGATAGAGTTGAAATCAGTAGCAAGAGCCAACCTTATTTGATGTTTACTGTGCGTTGGACACAGTTATAAGCCCTTAACCCAAACAATTTACCGTTATTCTCCTTTTAGACACAAGGAAATCAAGGCACAGAGAGGTTAAGTAACCTGCTTAAGGTCGCACAGTTAGGAAGTGATAGAAGCTGAATACAAACTCGAGCTCCCCTCCCTTAACCACTATTTTCCTACAGCTCAGAGCCGAGGTTTCTTGACTCCGGGGTCATTCTAAAGAGCAAGGAGAAGTTTTCCTAGAAGGAGCTTTTCAATATCAGTGTTTTGTTTGTTTTTTTAAAATTATTAGTCCTGAAGTCTTTTAGTCCACCATGCAGGGCTGTAGCCATCTGGCCATGAGCTGCCTTCGCTTCTTTCCCTGATTCCAACACATCTGACAGCCAGTGTCAAAGCTAAAGAAAGACCAGACAATGAGCTGGACTATTCATCTATTCAGATAAGATCCCCAGGCCAGTAAGTGTTCTCTGGCTGGCCAGCGATGACCGCCATTCATCAACTGGATGAATGGGATCTTTCCCAGCATCTCATTTCTTCCCAAGGTTCTCACACCTTGAGTGCCGGGAACAGGCTGAGCCCCAGTCTGTTGCTCAGCCAGGAGAGGGCCAGCAACGTGCAGCGCCCTGGAGACAGCTGCCATGGATGGTCCTACTACTTTCCTTCCTCCCGTGAGTCTGTTTATGCCAAGGTCGCGTTCCCGAGGCTCTTCCTCAAGGATTCTCTGTCTCTCAGAAGACATGCGCAGAGACTCCTGTGAAGAGAGTAGCTGCTTTCCCGGGAGCTGGGGGAGGAAGGGGTTGGAAGAGCACAGCGGGGAGTTGAAGAAGGCTGCAGAGACCATACTTGTTCGACCTTAAAGAATAAGTGGGATTTAACCAAGTGAAGCAAGGGGAGATGACATTCTAGGAAGAGGAAATAGCCCTAGGAGACCCAGGAGCATGAGAATAGAATTTTCTGAGAACAAAACGTACTCTGGTGTGATGGAAAGTGGTACGGCAAACTGACAGGACTCAAGACTGGCCCCGTGGCCTGGGGTCACCTGTGTGGACACGTGAGCCATACCCCGCAGTTTGGAATTTAGGCCGGAGGCAAAAGGCAAGAGGAGAGGGCCGTAAACAGAGCTAGAAAATAACTATGGTACCGGGTGGAGGATGAAATGGAAACCAAGCATCAGTTAAGACAATATATCCAGATTAAAATAATAATAATAATAATTATTATTAAAGGACTCTGTACCAGGACCATGGTTTAGGCTTTTCAAATAGCATAAACCCCTGAGCTGAGAATCGCTATTACTGATGGGAGAGCATTCTATTTATCAAGTATGTTGGGACAAAATAGATTGAAAGCTGCTGTAGGAGCCACAGCTCATCTCCCCCACGGTCCAGAAGGATATCTCTGGATGAGACAAGAGATGGAAGCAGGGGATGAGCTAGAAGCTGTTACGAAAGGACACATTTGAGACATTTGGTAATTGACTGAATGGGAAGAAGGAGGAACTAGGTAGGGAAAAGAACAAAGTTCAGCTGTGTCATGAGCCATTGCTCTGAGCTCCAGGGCAGGGCTGTTGTGTCAGAAGCAGGGACACTGGAGGCACATGAGGGCCCCTGCCTGGTGCCCTGCTCCGTGGTGACCACAGGAGGGACCCTGGACTGGATGATCCCAGTCACTCAGAGAGGTTCTCAGACCACCATGGAGGCTGAATGGACATACTAGCCCTCACCTACTGTCTCTGCAGACAAAGAAAAAGTTGTATATTGAAGAGTCCACTTCTCGTTTTGTAAATTAATGTCATGCTGGAGTCTGAGCAACAGTGCCAAGAACCTCGAGCTCTGTTGCCCATCACAGGGTCCTCTGTGCCCGTTACGGGTGCCACCCTCTTAACGTGATTTCTTTCCTTTAGGGCCAACTCTGTGACATGGAATCCACATAAGATGATGGGCGTCCCTTTGCAGTGCTCTGCTCTCCTGGTTAGAGAAGAGGTATGTGTTTCCTGACTCGTGGCCCAGTCCATAGGTGGGGTTGTATAGAGTAAATGTGTGTAGTGACAAAACCAGCATGATTTTACAGGCTGGAACAGTGAGCCGCATCCACAAAAAGGGGAGATTGTTAATTAGGATAATTGTAAGGACCTGCTTTTCTGTCCAAATATAGGATGGTTGTATTTTGACAAGACGAGACAGGCGTGTTCCATGAATGGCTAAATTGTTGTACTTGTGAAAAAGGTGTAGGACATTAGGTTGTACTCTGCAGGGTCAACAGAGAAATACCATTCAAAAAATGGTAATGGGATAGAAGAGGTGGAGCTTCAGGATGAGGCAGGTGGCAGTTCCCCACTGTCCTTTGGTTAAACCACACCTGGAGTGGTTTGCTTAGGTTAGTGTCAAATCGTATAGGGAACCCCATCAAGCTAGAGCTCAAACAGTGAGGAACCTTAGTTCACATGGAAGAGAGGTGGTTGAAGGAACTAAAGATGTTTCATCTAAAAAAATTTAATGTAAAGGGCCGAGAGGAAGGCAGCCTTTGCATCATAAATGACTCAAGTGGGAGATTCGTTTTTGCTTGACGCTTCGGGGAGCTGGGTTAGTAACACTGGATGGTACAGCTTTGATGGTAAAATCCGAATTACCATGATTTGAGGTCTGACTTGGGATCAGTAAAAGGAATGCTTTTCTGAAAATTAAGCTGCCCAACCGGTAATGAATTACTTATGTAGGAATAAATTCATCATCAGGGGAGGTGACTGAATGGACATTGGGCAAACACTTATTAGTAAGAGGACAGAGAGATAGAAGGGGAAGGAATAGGAACTTCCCCGGAGGTCCAGTGGTTAAGACTCGGTGCTTCCACTGCAGGGTGCACGGGTTTGATCCCTGTTTGGGGAACTAAGATCCCGCATGCCTTGTGGTGTAGCCAAAAAAAAAAAAAAGGGGGAGGGGAAGGAATGCTATAAGATGGTATTAAGTACTCTGTGTTAAGAGAGTTCTCGGTTTTCAAAAAGCGTGGGATATATTAGCTTAAAGAGTTAAAAACAAGTTTCATTACTTCAGGGCATATCAGAGGCTTCAGTTGCTGATATATATTATAAATATCTAAAACGAAGGTATTTATGATAGTTTCCAAAGTTTACTCGACCAGGAGAATTTCTTTGACGGCAACTGTTTTACAACCAGCAGCTATTCACGTATTTTAAATAGTTTAGGATATAATGGCTCAGAGTCAGGACACTGTCTCACCTTTATGTGACTTTTACTTATCCTTTTGTACAATGAGGCTGGTGCTGTCCCACCTTCTAGAGGTCATGTGCTTTGCGTTGCTTTTCCTATCCCAGTAGAAGCTGGTCTGGTCTGTCCATGATTCCGCACTCCCTGAGTGGTTTCCCTTAGGATTGATGGCACCTAAGCACGAGCTTGCATGGCTGGGGGAAAATGGTGCTAAGTTTCTGTGACCGTGAAACAAAATAGATGCACCAATTGCTCAGTCTCATTGGTCTTTGAGTCCAATTCAATGTCATTCTACTGCTCTATTACAATTACATTGTATTGAATTTCTACTAGTCTCAAGAAAAAATTACTTAATGAATTCCACTGAATAAAAAGGCCAGACTACAAGACTGAGCCCAGTTCTGTTGTCTACCATCTGGACACTCGGTCTGGTCTTTCAGGACCTAGATCAAATTTTAGTTGCCTTCTGTTTTAGTTTGGAGAACTTTTAAAAAGGGCTCTCACTTCTAACTTCAACGAAGTGATCACAGTTTAGTCTTTTCTTCTCTTGTCGTGAGTCACGAAAGAAAAAAGTAAATGCCAAAGTTTCTGTAAAATCACAGTCACACTGTGGATAGCCAAAGCGTCAAAGGCTTCCTGTGGTTCGAGACAAATTGCAGTGTGGTGAGGAGACTAATGATGCTGTTTTAGTCAGAGAACATGATTCATTCACTGGTCTTCGGAATAGTTCAATCACTTTGCCGCCCATTTCCCATAGTAAGCTCGTGGTGCAAGGGCAAATTCATGGTGATTGACAATGAAACGTTCTACTGTAACTACCATTAGCAAATGAGTATGAAAACACAGTGCTCGGGCTTCCCCGGTGGCGCAGTGGTTGAGGGTCCGCCTGCCGATGCAGGGGACACGGGTTCGTGCCCCGGTCCGGGAGGATCCCACATGCCGCGGAGCGGCTGGGCCCGTGAGCCATGGCCGCTGAGCCTGCGCGTCCGGAGCCTGCGCTCCGCAACGGGAGAGGCCACAACGGTGAGAGGCCCGCGTACCGCAAAAAAACAAAACAAAACAAAACACAGTGCACAAGCTTTAACCACTCTTGAGAGAAGAGTGTGACATCTGAAAGATTCCCTGTTGAAGACCCCAGAGTAGCAATGTCTTTATTGTTTTAGATTTTAGCTTATAAAAACGATAGCAATGAACTGTCTTAAAAACTATGATATCCATAAAGAACTCAAACCCTTATAGCTAAATGATAAAGTACTTGAACTAAATATGAACGAAACAGGAGAAGAATCACACCAATAATATTTTACAAAACCAAAGCGTTTCCAAAATAGTTTGCTTACAACAAAACCAGAACATCAGGATATTCTCCCAATGAACATTATACTCTGATTGATTTTTTTAAAAAATAAATGCCTTCTCACTGAAATTCACCTGACCTGGATTTACATCCCAACTGTTCCATTTCTAGGTGTAATTTATAGAGCAGCTTACATAAAGTTTTTGAGATTCAGTCTCATCTGTAAGATGGGAATTATTAATAACCAGCCACAATAAAGGGTGTTGTAAAGCTTAAGTAAAGTAATCAACAAATTTTTAAAAAGATAAATGCCTTCTCTTAAAAAGGAGACTAAAAGTACATATATGCCCTGTTGTTAACCCCTGGTGACAGCTGACCCTTAGCCATTTATCCTATAGACTTGACCTATCACAACAGCCCATCCTGTCGAGATATCGGCCTCATTTTTTTTTCTCATTTGATTCTTTCTCCAGGATATTCAGTGCCTGTTTCTTTTATTTTTTTTTCCTTAATAATCTCCATCACAATGTAAATCTAATAGAATACCTAATAAAGTCAGTAGAGTTTCCTAAGTTTTCTCTTCTCTTCTAGGGATTGATGCAGAGTTGCAACCAGATGCAGGCCTCCTACCTCTTTCAGCAAGATAAACACTACGACCTGTCCTACGACACTGGAGATAAGGCCTTACAGTGCGGACGTCATGTTGATGTTTTTAAACTCTGGCTAATGTGGAGAGCAAAGGTGAGCACGCTGGGATCGGCTGAATGTCGACTAAAAACAGACACTATATCTGGTGACCCTTATTATGACATGTTAAAAATTGATTTGCAAATTGAAAATTATTTACCCAAGATTAGGTTTCTTGAATCCTAGATCTAGTTATCTACACGGACAAGAATATAAGAAAACCCATTGAGTGTTTTCTTTCTTTTAAACCTAATTGCTTCTAATGCTCACTCATCTAGAACACCAATACATGTTGCTTTATACGGCAGAACCTCTGGATCCCTAAGAAGTGCTTCATTGTTGTTCTTGTCCCAACTCTTGTTTTTTACCCAGTGATTGATCCTTTGGGCAGGTTAAATGCAGTCTTTTTGTTTGGAGAATAAAAAGGAAAAAGAAAACACCCAGCACGATAGTTTATTTTTGACATTTCACAGGGTAACCTCTAGTTATAACGCTTTTTTCAAAAACTCTGGAACTACCTAGTGACCTCTTTTGGTTCAGTTTCTCTGTTTACCTCAGAATTTAACGGTAGATGATCACCCCTCTTTCAGAAATGGAACTCTGTAACTAATGGTGTGCGCCACTGGCTGGACCTAATTATAGCTTTCAAAGAGCATACGTGTGCAGTTAAATGTAAGCAGGCTGGAAGGGTCAAAGATTCTGTTTTTCATTTTGGCCAGATTCCTAACTTACGTGTCACAAATCAGTGACCTTCCACCTGGTTTCATTAATCTCCCACGGGAGGCAACGGCCTGAGCCAGTGGGGACACTGGAAAAACCCAACTGCTAGAAAAATCCAGCTGCTAACATAGTACGTGAGAGAAACCTGACAAAGGGAGAGATGAGAGGGAAGCTGGCATGCCCCGAGGTCCTGTGTGTTTGGGAAATGGTCCACAAATTTGGCTCTCAGCTTTCTAAGTAGCCTACACAAAGAGGTAACAGGTTCAGCACCATAGGAACAAGCAAATAACTTGGTCTGCTGCATGAGACCACCGAATGGGTCCTTCCTCAGGTCTGTGTAAAGAGGTATGGCCCACGTCCACAGCACCCAGTCCATACGCCGGTGTTTATAAAAGTGTTCAAAGCAAACTGAATCGACTCAAACAGTTCAGAGAGGCGGATGGCTAACAAGAAAAAGAGGGGGCTTGGGAGTGAAACAATGCATTCAGCAACTATCTTATGGAATCTTCTTTAAACCCATCCTGGAAAAGGGCAGTTTAACTAGAAAGACTGTCTTAAAAACTATGATATGGACACATGCCTTTTGCTCAATGCACAAATAACTCTTAGATGGTTTCCGGGGATGGCTAGACTACATGGTCTTCAAACAAGCCTCCATGATGGTATTTGCCCCGGTTGAGTTTTCTCTAAGTATTGCTAAGGATCAGACAGCTACCTGGAGTGAGGCCCAAGGTGAGTTACTGCCCCATAAAGGTGGGTGATGAGTGAGGTCAAATCCCTTGAGCTGGGCAGGGGACCCCTTCCCTTTCTTCTTTTGAAAGTTGAGAGCCTGACAAGGATAGGTATCTGGTCCCCACCGCCCAAGACAAGACTCATGCGGTAGGCAATAACACTTTCATTTGGCAAAAATAAATCAATCGAGAACGTAGATTATTGGTGTACTCTCAGGCTGTTTTTTTTGTTTTTTTTGTTTTGTTTTTTTTGCGGTACGCGGGCCTCTCACTGCTGTGGCCTCTGCCGTTGCGGAGCACAGACTCCGGACGCGCAGGCTCAGCGGCCATAGCTCACGGGCCCAGCCGCTCCGCGGCATGTGGGATCTTCCCGGACAGGGGCACGAACCCGTGTCCCCTGCATCGGCAGGCGGACCCTCAACCACTGCGCCACCAGGGAATCCCTCTCAGACTGTTTTAAAACGAGCAGGTTTTTCATTTCATTGATTTGTGGGAATTGTAAAATGACAAAGGTAGACATCAGCTAGTACGTTGAAGCAAGCTTGGTCTCTAAACATTGTCCAGTATCAGTCTTTTTGTCTCTTGTTCCCCTGGTGTTTTTATTAAAATGATGATCATTAGCTATATTTATACAAAAATGCTTCTGACACTGTTCATCGGTTCCTGCTGCTGCTTTTCCATCGGAAACCTCCCTGCCAGTGTGGTGCAGCCAGCTGGTTCTCGGAGAAATCACTCGGAGGACGTCGGGTGTGAATTAAACAGCAGGACCAAATGAAGCTTGAAATAAAGGCAAAGGATCCAGTTTCTAAAGGGCTGAAATACAGGCACCAGAAGAGGGGGTAACGAGAGAGAGAGAAAGAGAAAAATCACAGTGGCTACGTAACTTATGGACACATTTTTTTTTTGCATTGAAAAATAGTTTAATATTATACATTATCATCATCCAGAATTTAAAATATTGTAATTATTTCATGTACATCATGTTTGGGTAAAGGAATAATTCATTTTCTAACATTCATATATAAGGTGTGAACAGAAATGAAGACACACTGATAACTTGGTAATTAATGAAAGTCAACACATTATTTATGCTTAAAATGCAGAAACAGATGACAGTGAAGAATTACAAGTGAGAATTTGAGTTACTTAGAAGACATGGACACATATTTTTTTTAATTCCTTACGCAAACCCTTAAGTGTCTAGACGGCTAAACGGGAAAAACGTCCATTGTCTTTCAACTTAAAGCTGCCTTTTTAAAAAATGAAGTGATAATAATTATTAAAGTAATAAGCTCAGCCCTACAGTCCACATCAAGGGTGAGGATAATTACAATCCAACACCCCTAACCCTGTAGTAATGCCAGACAGGGCAGGAGAAGTACCCACTCCTAAGGAGAGCCGTAAGAGTGGCTACATGTCATTCTATTTTGCATCTGCCAAAGCAGTACAGTAAGTCCTCTACATACGAACCTTCAAGTTGCAAACTTTCAAAGATGCGAACGTGCATTCACATGTCCAATCACGTAAGTTAGTTCACGTGTCTGGTGTACCTTGTCACGTGCGTGCATCCTCTACAAGTGGTTGTGCTTTTGTGTACTTTACTGTACGGTACTATTTTCTGTGTTTGTTTCTTATGTATTATTTGTTAAAAGTATTATAAACCTTTTATAGTACAGTACTATATAGCCGATTGAGTTAGTTGGGTACCTAGGCTAACCTGGTTGGACTTATGGACAGATTGGACTTATGAATGCACTCTCGGAACAGAACGCGTTCGTTTCTAGGGGACTTGCTGTAATGAGGAGGAATGCGGCATTAATCAGCAACCCCCCTGTTATCAGATACACCTGGAGAATACAGTGTTCCAGTGAATCCGCATTTTCTCCTTAGTAAGATAAACCACATGAAAAATATTGACCTAAGTATAAATTACAGTTCTTTCACCGGTTGATAGAAAACGGAGCTAAATGCACTGAAGACGGCCGTCATGTTAAGTCCAAGACAATTTGACTGGAGCAGATTAATGCAAAAAAGAAAATATTGAGCCTCCTGATGTGGGATGCTAGGAGGTGTTCTGGATGGTGGTATGATTTGTAAGCCTTGCACTGGCAAAGACACTGTGTCTGCCCTCAACTCTGTTCTTATTGGGTAGACCGTTTATTTTGTCTGAATTTTATTAGAGAATCCTAGGACTTTAACCTCAGTGGCTAAAACTCACGGGTAGACATAAAAAAAACCCCAAAAAATCTTAAAAGGAGTCCCCTTTTTAAGGCCTGCAGTGATGGCTTAATATGTAACTATTGAGTTTTTACCGTAAATCTTCGTGTTTGTATATGATTATGCAAATTGTCAGATTTCCTTATAGTTTTCTATGATTGGCCTCTGTAATTAAAATGTAGATAACAGAGGGGTTGGCAAATGGCTGAGGGAAAAAAAATAACAGGAGAAAACTATTAAGGGGAATGCCTGGCACTCTTTGCTGAGTGAATGAACGTTCCCTTTCTCTCTAAAATATTAATTTATTTTAATAAGCAGATACTGAGCATCTGTTACCGTGCCTGGTGCTGAACGGGCCCGGGGGCTTCAGTTCTCCAGGCAGGAAAGAGAAGCGCTCTAATGACCATCACAAAGGACAGAACACAACTGGTTATAAAGGAAACACAGACACACCTTGAAGAGTTAAAGAAGGGAGAGTTCAGTCCTAGTTTGGAAGCCAAGAACGATTTATCAAGAGGTGATCTTCGAGATGTGTCGTGAACAGGATGGTAGAATAACTAGGATTTTGACCAGCAGAGCTGGGAAAAGGACATCCCAGGAGGAAGGTCAGGCAGGGGCTAAAGGGCGTATTTTGAGCTAGTAGGGAGTCTCAGTTGACTGAAGGAGAATTAGGGTGCTGCCATCCAGATGAGAAGTGAGAGGGCCTGAGTGGGTGCCTCTAAACCCATCCTGGGTGTGTGGGGGTGAGGGATAAGATAAGACATCTTTCTCCCAAAGTTCCTTCAGTGTAGCCTGATGCTGGGATCCAGCCTTCCACCCACAAGGGCTCCTCTGAAGCTGAAGCTTCCATCACAGCGACTCAGGTCACAGCGATGTGATGCCTGATAAGGTTCTATATGTGTCTTTGTCATTTTCATAAGAAGAGCTGTGTGGTATATAATGATTCAACAAGCATTTGATAAACGAATGAATTTTGGAGAATCTCCTAAAAACCTGCAAAACCTTGAAAATAAAGTATAGATCTTTTTCCCATAAATACCCCATTTGAAAGGAGGAGCCCCAGGCTTCAAAGGGCACATCGGAGCTCCTGCGTCGCTCCCCCTGTACCTCTTTAGCCTTCGTCTGAGGGGGCAGTCAGAGTACTCCTGAGCGTCTCCAGAGTGAAGTCCCAGACTAGCAAAGGCTGGAGGGCTCCCATCCCGTCCGTGGTAACCCCACTCCCTTTGCAATACAATCACACTTATTTTCAGAGCGTTCATTTCACCTTGCTACGTCTCTGTGTGGGAAATCAGACAGGCACCGTCATTCCCATGTGACCAGAGAGGTTCGCCAAGGCCATATGGTTGGACAAGGTCAGAGTCATACTGGTCCTGGACATAAACTGGATCAGGTCCATGTGAGATGAAATCCAACTCTAGGCTAGTCCAAAGGATCCAGTTTGGAGAACAATAAACTCCCCTCCCTCTTACCTAAGGTCCATCCCAAGTGGACCCAAACTGCCAGGTTGGCCCAAACCAATCCTAAATCCTTGGCACTCACAGACTCATGGAGCGCAGGGGTGCTGGCCTGAACGGTCAGGCATCAGCTGGGTCCTTGGAGTCAACAGGAACCAGTCAGCAAGGGTGGCGGTCTCCAAAGAAATGAATTTCTGAACCCATCACACCTCTTTAATGCAGCTTGTTCTTAAACACGTTTCAGAGGTTACAAGTCACTGGCTCTGCCAGATCCCCCCTTTGGCTGGGACGATGAGACTGTGTTAACAGGAAAGTGGGCGCATCTTATCTGTATTACAATTGCTTCCTCTAGATGCCAGCTTGGATTAGTCACTGGTAGGCCTGTTCTAAGTTCCTGGGATGAGCATTAGCTGTTTTCTCTAAGCTTCTCCTGAGCACTCCACAAATACCAAAGGAGTTAGGCGTAAAGCCGTGTTGAAAAGTAATCCCCTAGTGTGTCCTGTTGTCAGTTAAATAGTTCCAGTCCAAGGCTGTTGTGTTGTTTTTCCCCAAGTCCAGATCCTGGGCTTCCAAGAGCTGGAAACTAAAAGACCTCTGTGATAATGTTCACCCATTACAGACAGATGAGCCATTTATCCCCAAAGGAGAAATCTAATAAGCTTTGCAGAACGACAGGCTAACAAAGCATCTGTGTGCCCCTCAAGAGACTGTCATCCGTTTGTCCAACAGATACTCATTGAGCACCTACCCTATTCGTTCTATAATGGGGGGTACACTGGTGAACAAAAGTGGGGTCTGGAAACGACAAATTTACCTGATGGGCAGGGACTAAGCAGGCATCCTGGCGGTGGGATGTGCCTCTGATGACGCTTCTTATCCACAAGAAAAGGATAGGCAGCCCTCCGGTCATTAATGACTTCCATAATTACTCCTCTGAGCGACAGAGGCAAATTTTCCCCTCGAGTAATCAAAATAATTGCCTGGGGAATGGAGGCTCGGAAGGAAAGGGATTGTGCCACGGAGAGCGGTGATGGCGAAAGGGAACAAAAGCACCTGACAAAGAGAGCATTAGAGGAGAGATAATTGCCAGGAAAGCCTCTAGGAACACAGTCTTATGTCAGGAAAGTGCTGGCGCAGAGCTGAGACCGAAGGGGCAGAAAGGCCACCAGTGTCCAGAGAGATTCGTCCCCGCATCTCACCTGAGAGCTCGCCCACCTTTCTCAGCCTGCTAAGCCTTCTTCTTCTTCTCTCACTTAGGGGACCACCGGGTTTGAAGCACATATTGATAAGTGTTTGGAGCTGGCGGAGTATTTATACAATACCATCAAAAACCGAGAAGGTTATGAAATGGTGTTTGATGGAAAGGTATGTATTCTGATTTCTACAATCCTCCAAAGTTTAGTCCATTCCAATTCTTATCACTAGTAGTTTTTGATGTTAAGAATGTACTGTCCAGGTAAGTGGGACCATTACAAAGGAGAAGCAGGGGTGAGAGGGTAAAAATCAAACTCACAAAAAATAACTCTGTATAATGGTGTGAAAATCAGGCACTCCAAAGGTGATTACAAACGTGAAAAGCAGGATTGTATCCGGAAGCTGCAGAATAGATTGGAAATGTCCTTGGAATTTTCAAACGTGCCAGTTTGGGCGGAGCGTGAATCTTACTTTCCTTTTCGTAGCCTCAGCACACAAACGTCTGCTTCTGGTATGTACCTCCGAGTTTACGTGTTCTAGACAACAATGAAGAGAGAATGAGCCGCCTCTCTAAGGTAAGGACGCGAGCTCCTCTGATCTGTACCTCGGTGTATGTAATGGACCTTTCACGTGCATGTCATCCTTATGACAGATGTGCATGTCTTCAGGAGAAATCCATCCTCAGCCTTAGTCAATTCAGTAATTCAGAATTAGAAATGAAAACATTAGAACACATAAAATATTAAGGTTAACTTTTGTTTGCTTGTGTCAATAGTTTTTCAGAGTTTCAGAAAAGTTTCTTACTAAGTGCGAAACCCTTAAAACACAATGTCCAGGGACCCGTAAAATCTACACACACACGCACGCACGCACGCACGCGCAATCCCAGAGGGAAAAGCGCTAGGGTGAAATAAATCATCCACACTGTCCAATGCGGTAGAGTAGCTACATGTAGTTACTTAAATCTAAATCAGCTGAAATTAAATTCAACTCAAAATTCACTTCTCAGTCACATTAGACACATTGTAACCTGTGACTCGAGACCAATATATCAGATTGTGCAGACAGAAAACATCTGTGTGGTTACATAAAGCTCTCTTGGTCAGTACTGACATACACCCAAAATGGGAGGAAACGTGGAGTCTTCTGGGCCACAGGAGAAGTTAAATTCTGGACCTAACAAGGCAATGGAATTACTCTTTGTGGCCTCTTGCCCACTACAGGGCTCAGCATACAATAGGCACTCAAAAATGTTTGTTGAACTAACGTGCCATTTACATATTCCAGAATAGGGAAGGGAAACACACTTAGGAAACCTACTAGTGGATCACAGACGTCTTCCCAGTGCACACTTTGGCTTGAAGACAGATATATAGGTAACAAATGGTTATCACTAAAACGAGCCCAGCCACAGCTTCATGAGGGAGGGAAAGATGAGAATCTGGTTGGTGCATTTTCTGCTCCAGTCAGGACTGTGAGTGCGCAGGTGGCCCACTGTCACTGAGGCAAAGTGGACACAGAAGGCCTGGGGCACCATGGGGACAGGACCACCATGGGGACGGGACCACATACAAACGCATTAGACCAAGGCAGGAGGCAAGGAGATGTCCTGCAGGTGTTCATCAGACAAGAGCCCCAGGCGGCATACCGTAAGTCCCCTACACACGAACCTTCAAGTTGTGAACTTTCAAAGATGCGAACGTGCATTCCATCGTCAGGTGTGAGTGAAATTGCAGCTGGCCCTCCGTCTCCTATTGCTAACGAGATCCTTCAGCTCTACCATCTCCCACCTCCTCTCCCTCCTCCAGTCAGTAACTCTTCTTGCCTGTTCACTCAGTGCCAGCCCCTGTGTGCCAGCTGTCGTACGGTACTACTATACTTTTCAAGGGACTGTACTGTAAGATTAATCATGTTTTCTTTATTTTTTGTGTTTGTTTTTTATGTATTATTTGTATGAAAAGTATTATAAACCTATTACAGTACAGTACTATATAGCTGATTGTGTTAGTTGGGTACCTAGGCTAACCTTGCTGGACTTACAAACAAATTGGACTTACAAATGTGGTCTCGGAATGGCACTCGTTCGTATGTAGGGGACTTACTGTGTTGGTCACCTCTTGTATTTCTGGTTCTTTTTCTTCTTCATCATCTTCTTGAATTTTAATTTTTATTATATTTCCTATACTGACTGATGGCCTTTCAGAAGGTCACCAGTGGATTTAAAAGTACATTGGTAAGGAGAGACAAGATAGGGGTAGGGAAGTAAAGAAGTACTAACTACTATGTATAAAATAATAAGCTACAAGGATATATTGTACAGCACAGGGAATAGAGCCGATATTTTATAATAACTATAAATGGAGTATAACCTTTAAAAATTGTGAATCACTGAAACATATATTATAAATCAACTATACCTCAATAAAAAATACTAATAAACAATAATAAAAGTTTATAGAAAGTATTACAAAAAGTACATTGGTAGGGCTTCCCTGGTGGCGCAGCGGTTGAGAGTCTGCCTGCCGATGCAGGGGACACGGGTTCGTGCCCCGGTCCGGGAAGATCCCACATGCCGCGAAGCGGCTGGGCCCGTGAGCCATGGCCGCTGAGCCTGCGCGTCCGGAGCCTGTGCTCCGCAGCGGGAGAGGCCGCAACGGTGAGAGACCCGCGTACCGCAGAAAAAAAGAAAAAAAAAAAAAAGTACATTGGTAAAGAAGTAGATTGGCCTCATATATAAAGTGACTTTTTTAAAGCCTATGTTATTAAATGTAATGGGAAATTTAATTGGTGAGATTTTAATGTTTTCAAATATCTTATTTATGGTTATTCTGCTTTTTGATTTTTCAAAATTTCTCTCAGCCTTCCACGATGTAAAAACAAAAAGGTTTTGTAACACATAGTGAGAAATACATTTCTGTGATATCTTTGTGAGATTATTTCATGATGCTTTAATCTGAGCCCTCTTTGGAGGAAACAAATGTGGATTTAAATTATGGAAGAGTTCCCTGGTTATTATTTTCTAAAGGATTGAAAAAGCTAATGGCACAAAGGATACAATGGTACCCTAAAACTCTTAAGGCATCCCCAAAGAGCTCTTGTTGATTGAGCCTTCAGTGAATTCTTCAACATGCAGCCCCTTTTTTCCTGACTTCCTTTATTCAGCAAAACCAAGAATGTGACCCCAAAAAAAGAGTCTAGAAAAAAATTAAAATGCTATATACTCGTCAGAATAGTCAGATTCTTATTTTTCTTCTTAACTTGCAAGTAGTGATCATGCAGTGAAGTAGATGTTCCGTGTTCCTGCTAATTTGAGTTCGGCAGCATTTTCTGGAAGCAACCAAAAGCCATATGTATTTAGTCAATCTTACTTTCCGCCAAAACCTGTTTGGGATGATGGCTGTTACCGTCAGTCTTTTGACTTCTGATCTGCATTTATTTCAAAAATTGGTGTTGAATGTCCTTAATAATTAATCCCATTCCTGTGTATTCTTACTTGGATTGCCTATGAAAACGAAATCAGAATTTAATTCACTGAGTAAAGCATTATCACTATTTTATCAGTGCTAAAGAGCAAGCATGATTTATTGCACAAATAAAACTAAGGAACAGTTATGTGATCTTTTTCCTTAAATTCCTGCAGACACATGGATTTGGAATTCTTTTTCTAATCTGGGATTTCTCTTCCCAGGAACACACTGACTTGCCACGCCTCACAGCACAAAGTGATACATTTCATGTCCTTAGGCTAAATTATTCTAGTAGATCCATTTTCAGAACTTAATCCCAGTCTTGAAATATTTAAATTCTTTTTTATATTTATTCCCCGGCATGAGCCTGACGCCCTGCATACATCGTTAATCCTTTGGGTGAAAGAGGATCAACCCAACAGGAACATTCCTCCTTACATTACCTCCTTGTGGAATAAGGAAGGAGCAGAAGGGGATGTAAGAACGTGTTCATCTAGAATCAGAAAATCTAAATGTTGGAATCATCATCCACATTCATTTTTAGGTGAGGAAATTAGGTTCAGGATGTGAAGTGAAGGTGAAATGAACATGAAGGTCAAGTCTGGCTTTGGCTTTGGCTTTCATAACTAACAAATAATTGGTCCTGATGGGGAACCATGTTGATTTTTCCCACTGAGTACTTTGAGGATTAAAACCTCATTGCAAACCAATGATTATCTAAGTGTTGATATTCCAAAGTCACACGTTCATAACACCATTCTATTTGAATCTATCCTTCATTTAAAATGAATACAACTGTGATAGAAGGCATAGTTCCCATATTGAACTGAGTTGCTGACTATGAATATCTAACATAAGTCTAAAGCTTCCCTCACATCTACATTCCTGGTTAGGTATTTGCAGCAACGAACCTAAAAGATCAATGTTATATTTACAAACTCCAGTGGTGAAATACGTGGACAGATCCTGCATACAGTTGGACATAATTTAAAACGTATGCCTCATCCTAGGAGCTCTTCCTCTTATGCCACTTTTTATAGTCAATAAGGACTCAGGGAGCCCTCCATGTGCACACAGTGCTGTCCTGATAAAAGAAATGAAGGACACTCCCTGCCTTCCGGGAGCTTACAGCTGAAGTACAAAGATGAAGTGTATTGTCTTATAACTGAGGGGATGATAGGAAATTAGAATATAGACAGAATCTATGGATAAGGATCATGTACTTACAACTTAGAGAAAATATGCTAATGGACTGCAGAAGTCAGGAAAGGCTTCCTAGTGGGTGTAGGACTGTGGTGGAGCCTTGGAGTCTGCATAGGATACAAACTGGAAGTGAAAAGGAATTCTAAGCAAAGAGAACAAGTGTGACATGGTGAGACTGAGGACCAGTGTGAAGGGGTAAAAATATGTGTGGTACATCCAAGGGATATTGAATAAGGAGGTCTTGTCAGAGCTGCAGATTCATTTGGGTGGGCACTGGATGAGTCCTCAGAGCTGGTGACAAAAGGCATTTGTGCTGAACTGGAGTTTGAACTTAAATTCGTATACAATAGAGGACTAAGGGCTGTAATCATCCATCTGGCATAAATGTGGTAAAATCGTGTCTGTGATCTGATTCTGCAATGTTAAATCCTTGTGGGTGCAGCTTTTTGCCTCAGCTGATTCTTCATGATTATGAGGTAATATATTTCAAAACATCTTATAAACTGAGTTAATGCAAAAGGAGAATAAAAAGAAACTAGGAAGCTTTAGGGTCTCAAGAAGGAAAATAGCGTTAGGATCTCAAAAGTCTGCTTATTTTCACACATCACTTGATAGTGAGCCTTACATCTTGGTAAGATGAACCATGTGAATTCTGTGAACCATGTATTACTTCCAATGAGGGGGGAAAAAACCCATCCCCCAAATGTTGTATTGCCAAATTCTTTAGCCTTGGAACCAACATCAGATTCTTCTTGGTCTCCCAAAACACTAAGTAGAAAGTCAAGATGTCAAGCTCCTAAGAAACAAAAAAACAAAAAAAACTAGGGCTTCCCTGGTGGCGCAGTGGTTGAGAGTCC